AAAAAAAAAAAAAAAAAAACTCATTTTGAGATTGCATAGGACACAATATGCAAAAAAGGGCTGAACAGTCCATTCCTGGTCTGTGTCCCCATTCTTATTTGCTTGATTCAAGCATGTTTTTGAAAGAAGCCTCAAGTCTATTGACTCAGAATGAAGAGTTATAGCTACCTTCCTTCCAGAAGCCTGGCCTGGGATGCAGAAAATGTCTGTAATCTCTACAGTCAAACTGCAGGTTCCCAGGAGATAAGGCAGGTGAATTTGGGTTAATTCAGTTGCTTAAAACAAAACAAAAATCCATACATCTCCTAAGGAGAAAAAACAATATGCAACTACTGAAAGTACTAACCAAGGGAATGTCAAGAAGAGAAATAAAAAAGAAAAGAAAAAAGAAGCCACATTCCCTACTGCACAAACTGTCCAGAGACAGTCCAGAGACTGAGGGGAAGCAGCACACTGTAAAACTTCTATTACTTTATTTTTTAACAGAGAAGGTATGCTTTGAACGCTAAGTTTTAAAATATGCTCCTTTCATTTCAAGACTTGGGAAAATGTAACATATTCTAATGTTCTTATTTTACCAGTTAGCAACTCCCAAAGGATTTCATTTCCTTCTTCAAGGATGTTTTAGTACTGGAAAATGTTTCCAGACCTGTTTAATGCATAGATTATCAGCAGCAGAGGATTTTTTTTTTTAAACTCCCCTGTGGGGAAATTAGAAATCTGTTCCTTCTGCACAAATCATACTGGAAAATTATTAGAAGACAGGTAAAACCAAGACAAGACAGCAAAAACTGAGAAAATGCAACTGTATATATTATTTTTCCGGAGGGCTCTTGGTTCACTCAGCTCATGGGATCGAGAATAAATTGCTTAAGAAGCAACTTTGGTACTCTGCAATGGAATTTGGAAATCTTAGTTCAAGAAGCTAATTCAAAAAGCATTTTTCTGCACCGTCCAACTCCAGTTTTTTAATCAGACAGATAGATTTATTCCCTTTCTCAGTTTTGTGTATTCTAGATCATTCATGACTCGCCTTTGTCTTCTCCCTTACATTCCCAGCTCTTCATCCGCTGACAAGACGTCTTCTCCCAGTTCTGGGATTGGGTGGATGTACAAGAACATTCACAACAAACCACAAGAGTTC